GGTTAAAAACAGCATCTGGCCTCAAGGCCCAACAGTTTGACATACAGCAACAAGCTCTGAAGCTTACAGCAAACAGGTCTTAGCCTGTTTTTGTTATATACACACGCACTATTGTATATACTCGTGCTACTTGATGCATCATTATCATATTATTGGAGATATTTTTCCTGAGGTGATATATTTCACTGCAGTATGTATGGATGCTTAGGATTCTCCAATTCCAGATTCTATGCGAAGTCGTTAGCCGAGCTTATAACCTCACAAGTAGGAAGCTCTCTTTTCCTAAACTGTTGTATGTTTTATTTAAGCAGATTATGACTGCACGTCTGACATCTCTATTTTGTTTTGTAGGGAAGGGAAATTCTACAGAGTACTGTTGACCTAGTTCAGACTTCACTAAACCTGGAGGTTTTCTTCTTGTGCAATATGCTGTATTTGCTTATCCTGCTTACATGTCAAAATTGGTCCTTGAACCCATTGTTCTTCTATGAATCAGGTTATCTATGGTGACACAGATTCAATTATGATTTATAGTGGACTTGATGACATTGGAAAAGCCAAAGCAATAGCAGCCAAAGTTATTCAAGAGGTTAGTATTGGCTGCATACTTTCTTTCTTTTGGGATTAATTTTGTATGTCGGGTGACTTCTTAAAGAAAAATAAAGAAACTTGTATTTTCTACCTCGTGTACTGTGGAAGCCTACTTCTTGTCTCACTATCCTATGATAGCACTTGCACTTTTTTACCTTTCTTTTCTTTAACATTTTTCATTGCCTTATATTAGATATTTATTACCTAAGGATTTAAGATTGTATGTACTGATATATTTGTATGGAGACCTTGTCTAGTTGCAGTCTCACCATAGGGATATAATGTAGTAGTTATACTGACACCAGAACAATGAATTCATCTATATATTTGTGTTCATAGGGAGATCTATTAAGCCTTTGTGCTTTTATTCACAGTTGTTAGACTCATTATATCACATAAATCAACATCGCAAGAAAAGGCATCCAACCAACTTGAAAGCAGAAATGGAATCTGCACATAATTTTACTGGCCACAATGGCGTAAACTTAAACATTGTTCTAATTATTTTGTGCTCTACCATGAAATGATACGATATGCAAAAATGCATCCTCTCTTGTATGTTGAGAAGATAGATTCTTGGAAATTGATCTGCTAGGTTTAATTAACTTCTAAATCAACTAGAATTCATCACGTTAAGGTGCCTCCTCTTTTATAGGTTAACAAGAAATATAGGTGCTTAGAGATTGATCTTGATGGTCTGTACAAGAGAATGCTGCTTCTCAAGAAAAAGAAATATGCAGCTGTAAAAGTGCAGTTTAAGGATGGAAGACCCTATGAGGTAGCTACTGCATGCTACTTAAAGTTGAAATCCTTTTGAACTTCTTTCAAATAATTCCTCATCTACTCCATGTTACTGACTCTTTGGTGTAGGTCATTGAGAAAAAAGGTCTTGATATGGTGCGTCGTGACTGGAGTTTGCTGTCAAAGGAATTGGGAGATTTTTGCCTGAGCCAAATACTGTCCGGCGGGTACATTTTGTTGTGAACTTATTTCTTTCTCCTATTCATATCCTCATATATGTGATTTGCTCAGTACTGAATGGTTTACGTGTCTTTAATGGTTGCAGGTCCTGTGAAGATGTTGTTGAATCAATACATAATGCACTTATGAAGGTAACATTCTCAATGATATGGAAAATCATAAACCAGGAGCTGAATGGCTCCTCAAGTTTTCATCGTGAGCACTGTTTAGTTTATATTATAGGTTATTACTTTAGAATTGATACTATTTCTAGGAACGGCTCTGAGCTTGTGGCTTCTCTTTAGGGAGTTCCACCTTTATAAAGTAGGTTCCCCCTCCCCTTTTTGCCTCAATCATTGAGCGGCTAATGCTTTCTACCATACATCCTCTGTGCATCTCAACTATTTTCTTGCTAGTGCATTGTTCCAAAATTTGATGCGCTGCCTGGAATCTTTATCTACAGCAAGTCTTCTTCATTCTAGTAGAGGGAAAATCCAACTGCTACTGTTAGCACCTGGAGAGGCAATCAACACAATCAACACAATTTAGCTACTGTGATTATCCTTGAATTTCTCTGTTCTACTGCAGGTACAAGAGGATATGAGGAATGGGCAAATTGAACTGGAAAAATACGTGATCACCAAATCGTTAACTAAACCACCTGAAGCCTATCCTGATGCTAAAAGTCAACCTCATGTTGAAGTAAGTACAAAAACTTTGATCAATTCATGTTCAGACTAAGGAACTGTATCACACTAATCATCTCATCTTTGCCTTTCTCTGATTTGTCACCATTTAGCTTAATTTCAAACTAAGATTTAACATTATCGTCCTCTACGTCTCCTGTAGGTAGCACTTAGGTTGAAGAAAAGTGGGTATGTCACTGGTTGCTCTGCTGGTGATACAGTACCATATGTCATCTGCTGTGAGCAGGTCTATTTCCTATTATTGGGGCAATGATTAAATTCTGCTTATTCTTTTCGCTTCTGTTGACTTAAAAATGCAGTTCTTTCACACATTTGCAGGGGAATGGTTCAAGTACCTCTGTGGGGATTGCTCAGCGGGCAAGACATCCAGATGAACTGAAAAGAGACAATGGAAACTGGATAGTTGACATTGATTATTACCTTGCACAACAGGTCTTTGCAGTCTACTTATATTGATCTTCAATTTTACTGGGTTAGTGTTGGTTTCTTATGCTGTGCATATTTCATCACTCCACCTAACTGTGAACCATTTTCAATGTCACAGATACATCCTGTGATATCTCGTCTATGTGCATCAATTCAGGGTACTAGCCCGACACGTCTGGCTGATTGCTTAGGACTAGATTCATCCAGGGTAGGCAACTTTTCAAAACTGATGTTATTTCAACATGGCATAGTCTTGACAAATAGCTTACTGATTTGGCTTTTTTGATCAGTTCCAAAATAAATCAAGTGAAGCCGTCAATGATGATCCCTCAAACTTGCTTTTGTATGCAGCAGATGATGAAGAGAGGTATCAATTTCTTTCAGAGAAGTGTTCTAGCAATTTAATAAACTCTGATGCATGATCATGCATTTGTTTTTTGAGAGATACATCACAAAATGCTTTTGGGGGGTGTAAGCGGCATTTTTTCTCAATCATCTAAAGTGTTTCACTAGTTATAGTAAAATGAATTTTAGGCTTCATTTTAACTGAAAGGAAAAAAACAAGTTTAGTTTTTCCTTTTATCTTTAGTACAGGTTGAAGATGTTTTCCTTTCGTTTACTTTAATTCATACTAGTTATTACTTTATCGTATCAGTTTCCTTTCACACTTTTTTTCCTGCTTCACCTCTCTCTATCNTCGGCTCTTTTGAATGCACACCTATATTTAGTTCTATATGTTCATCAATTAGTCAAAAGCCAGCAGACCTTCAAGTAGGAGGGGCTCCCAGCAAGTTCTGGGAAAGATTTAGCTGTCCCAAATGCCCAGAGGAGAGTGAGGGGAATATATCACGGGCGTTGATAGCAAACCAGGTACTGTCTTGAGTTTCAACTGTTCCGTACTGTCCAAATTGTTTTAAACATATAATCATGGAAAAGTCCCTTAGTGCCTTCTATTTTTCTTCCCAACTGATATGATTTCTTTCTCGCTATGAGTATAGATGGCAATGAAGTGCTAAGACGATCTCATCTCTAGATTCTCTCATTCGAAACGTTTAGTTCTGTGGTTCTCTCTTGGTGTCATGTTAACTTTCCCTTGATTCCTTACTTGGTATCAGTCTCATTTTCTTGCATTATCTACCTTTCATTTCCGTGATTTCCTCTCTTCTTTTGGCAATCAGTCATCTTTTTTAAGTTGTATCAGTGCATTGAAAAAATGTCACTTGAAGGATATTTTTGCTTTGTTTTATTTGCTTGTTCTTTTGACTGAAAAAGAAAAGAAATTCTATGTTGATTTACATATATATACGCTATATAACTAGTGACAGGCCGATTGATACATCTATGCTGTAGACTGATGTTGTAATGCCATCATTGACAGGTTAAAAGGCAAGTAGAAGGCTTTGTCTCAACATACTATAAAGGAGTGATGATGGTATGTGCTTTTATATTTTATAACTATGCTCTGACGAGCTTGCTAGACATCAATAGTCTAATTAGACCATTTTATTCTTTTCAGTGCGATGACGAAACTTGCAACTACACAACTCGTAGCCTGAACCTGCGAGCAATTGGGGACTCAGAGAGGGGAACTGTTTGTCCAAATTATCCCCGTTGTAACGGGCATTTACTAAGACAGGTTTACTTTCTGATATATAGCTTGCTTCCTCTGTTTAGTTAACCTGCAGTATTGTTTTAGCTGGTTCCTGATAAATTTTTTGTACAATGCACCCTGGCAGTATACGGAAGCAGATCTTTACAGACAGCTTGCTTATTTCTGCTACGTCTTAGACACTGTTCGCTGCATAGATAAGGTTGTCTCTAGCCCAGTATGTGAATTCATCAAAATGGTATTTCGTTTTTTGTTTTTCCCCCTCCGGTGAATAAGTTGCTAATCTCGAAATGGTCTTTTGAGTGGCAGGTAGAGAGTAACATGAGAATACAAGTAGAGAAGGAGCTTGCTAGGATACGACCCGCGGTTGAAGCAGCAGCATCAACCGTACAGAAGTTCCGGGATAGATGTGCCTTCGGGTGGGTGCAGCTTAAGGATTTGATTGTCTCATTCTAGCAAGTCTAATACTACCATTATTGTGATGTCTCGTGTAAATAATAAGAAAAATGTTTAGTTGGCATCGGAACTAGCAGAGCAATTTCAGAATGAAGCCTTATTATTTTTCATTAAGAAAATCAACTGAAACCTTTCGCAGTCACTGAATTTAGCCACACTTATCTTAATCATAACAATATTTTGTGCCCATAGATTACATATTCCGTTTTATCCCCTCGTCTTTGAGAAAGGATTTCATTGAGGCAACGAACTGGCAGAAAGAAGCAAGCGGAAGAAAAACAACCGCACTTTTATTGACTTTTACAAATTTCCAAGAAATCTTATACATTTGACTCGTAACAGCATCAGAAACAAAAAGAAGCAAAAGTACTTTCCTTCGGTTGGTTTCATTATGTAAAATTTTAGACTACATGAGAAAAAAGATACACATTGCGGAAAACCTAGAAAGACTCTTTTCAACCAACGGATGTTCCAGTTTAAGTCCTCAAACTATTCATTCATGGTCACTGCAACTCGCCTACAGGTGCTTCATTGAGCCATAGGAAATGGATGAAATCATACAACTTTGCACTTACACTGACCTGCTCAACAAATATGCAATCAAAACCAGCAAAATGAAAAACAATGCTTCAGTCAAAGATCCATTGAATCTGCAGAATCTGTTCTGTGGAAGTCGCTATTCTCATTTGGTTCTTACCTTATATGGTGTTGGGTTCAGCCTTCTCATGTGATCTGGTCGCATTTTATCCAGTTGTTCAATACATCTTTCCCTGATCTCCTTCAACGGAGGAAGATCTTCTCTTGTTTTATCTTCAGAAATGACAAACCAACATCAGTTAGTCAACATTGTGTATGAACTATAGGGGCAGCTGATGTAGAGGTTTCCCTATGGTAATCATTAAATCCTCCTTAAAAGTAAATGGTTTGGTTGTTTTGAAGCTTAAACTAAGGTGATCAAACAGGATAATGTTGTAAAAAGTATGTTCAAGCAGTTCTAAGCAGAAGTAGTCACTTTTTCCATATCTCGCAGGAACTTAATAATATCGCCAACATAGGCTTCCAACACATAATTTGGAATATACAGCAAATTACGGTCAAGCTTTTGCAGAAAATAAATAATTCAAACTAAAAAGTTAATACATTTGGAGAGATAACAACTCCTACCTGAATTTCCAGACCAAAAGCACTTTAAAAGCTCCTCAACACGCTGGGGCACCACATATGCCCTTTTAGATTCACTAAACGGGTGGCGGCACAAAATTCGTTCACCTACCTGTCAAATTGCCGGAAAACAATTGCCCATTTGTTGTACCCACAAAATTTATCTAATTTCTAAATAAATATTGATAAAGGAAGACATCAGGAAGAGCTACTAGTGGCTCAATAAGGCAAGCCTCATAAATCACCTTAGGCTGTGGCTCATTTTCGCCAGTCATTATGTCTACAAGGGCGTATCCTTCCTTCCCATACAATCTATAACACCGCTTTTTGCATGGAATAGAGACCTAGAAACAAAAAAATTATGAACTTCTGCACTGAATCTGAATGCCAAATGAATATCCATAGCTTCAGCAGACCTTTGATACATCTTCAGAAAGTTTGATTCTAGGCTGATTGTTTATTTCAACTAACTTGAAAACAACACCAAGAGCAGCTTGAGCATAGCAGGTAACCAAATGAGTTCCAATACCAAATGCATCAACCTCATGACCCTGTTTAGAAAATAAGTTAGTTGACACAGCTTTCCTGATGATAAAAATGAAAGTCAACAGGTATGAAAACCAACATTAAAACTATAAACTCAAATTAATTTGAGGGTTCTATGATGAAAAGACATCAAGTTAGGTAGAGTATTCACGCCTCCATAACCCAATGTAGGCAGATTTGGTGTTTTACAATTCCATTAACTACGAGTAAGTGAGGATGTGCTTTTATCTATCAGTAAGGAGGTTATTGATTTATTTCTAGAAGAATTGTTTGTGTCCACAAAATCATGAGGGGGCTATTTAAGCCAACTTCATACATTCAAGCTAGAGATATTTTCCTGTTCATACTTAATTCTCAGCTGATAAAAATATATGCATTGAAGAAATACATTTACGAGCACTTCGAGTGTATGTATACCCTTAATCCAGATAATGGCACCAAATTAACAACAAAGTGAAGCATAAAGGTGTCAACTAGACTACAAATCATTCAGAGACTAGACCATTAAAAAATAGAATAACATAGCACAAGTAGCAATCCTCATGATCTTACTTGTTTATTTAGTGCATCCAGAGTTTCCTCATTAAGGTCATTGCTAGCTGTGATATTCATCTTTCCAAAACCAGGCAATCCAAATTCTTTCTCAATAGCACGAAAGAATTTCCTAGCTTCACATGATTGATAAGCAAGATCACCAGAGTCTAGTCGAATGCCCACAGCTTTATACCTGCATAATAGTACAATAATGCTAAACAGCCTGAAAACAAAATATAGAAGGCATGAAGCAAAAGAGCAAACAAATACACTATAAAATTATCAACGGAAGGTAGAAACAGAAAAGTTTAGACAAAGTAACATTTCAGGCTTAAAGAAATACATTGCCCAAAAAACAAATCTATTGATCAGAAGCAAGGGGAGATATATCGAGCTCTGATTCAAAAGACTGTAAAGTTCTGGAGAAATTATGAAATAGAACGGTCTGCACTACCAATTGTAAATAAGTAAATAGCTTTCATTAATAGCACACGAAGATGGTCTGAGAAACCTTCTTTTAAATATAGACAATACCTCCCCTCTCCTAGAAATCCCTTCTACCCAGGAGTCAATGATGGCCCATTCCTACTTTGCTCTCTTGGTAACTTGAACTCGAACCTCATGGTTGAAAGTCGAGGGTCCTTTCGACTAGGTTATCCCTCCCTTTCAGGTCCACATATATACACTTAACATAAATACATATCATCTTGAAAGTACGAAGAGGAAGGGCACATGTTTCTCAACCTAAGTACTCATGGGCAAAAGGCCGTAGTACCTTTAATGACCAGGCCAACGTTGCCTGTTTGTGCTTTTTGCTTTATAAGAACTTTTTTTTTTGGGGGGGAAGGGTTGAAGGAATACACATTTTCTGTTTTCTTTCTAGGCTAGTTATTCTCACTTTCATGGAAGTATAATATCACAAGCTTAAATATATCAGATTAACGAAATTGCAAAATTTGGAATTCCAGTTGGCATATCCTTTTATAATCCATGAGAATATTATGACACTACATCATCGAACAAATTAAGCATCACACAAGAAGCAGAGACATGCAGTAAAGAAAGGCCTGTTTACAATCGAAATAGAATTCATCATGCAAAGAGCTTACCCCAAATCATTAAGTGCAAGGGCAACTGCACAAAAATTTGGAATACCACTTCTCATGACCTGTTAAAGTACATGAAAACGTCATCAAAGGTCAAGATCAACCAAAACGTTTGATCACCGTCGAAGAACATTGTAACCAAATAACAAAAACCTAGCCTGATATTTTAATATCATGAGACAGGTAGTGTTCTCTTTAAGGATATATTTTGCTGTCTATGATACTAACTGAAATTAATGCAATTGTTGGCTATGGTTTTTCGCTCTACCATCTACATGTGCATAGTTCTAGATGGCAAGGCCAAATGTGTCAGAAGCAGAGGAGCAGCACAAGGAATTGCATAAGTCGACAAGTTGTACTTACATCATAAGTGTCTACAAGTGCCAAAAAGTTTCCAGGAAATGCGAGTGCATATGAGGTGAAAGCTGCTAACTCACTTTGGTTTGTCTCACTGAAAATTCCACCTAATAAGTGTGACCACTGAAAAGATCAAAGAGTCATCACATCAATGATATACATGCTCAAAATGGTAGAGAAGCAGTTTCCAGCGTAAAGCCCTGTACTGATAGTGTACCAATTGCTTTGATATATCAAAAAACGGAAATACTCTAATGATGCTAGAAAGATTTTTAAAATTTGTATAAGAATTAAGGAAGGCCTACATGAGATTCGTGATAGTTTTATCTTCCAGCATCAAAGTAAGAGTACTAAGAGAAGGCTCTCACAATTAATGAAATTACTTCATCATAATCAACCATAAAAAACATATACAGTAGATTTTATTTTGTAATGGTATGCAACCTCTAAGTAGCATTATCTATTCGTTTTGGGGTGGAAGGGAGGGCCATGGGGGCATTATTAGCTACATCTGAGCACACATCACCTGAAAGGACACAGTTTGTCTCAGTGGAATCAAACCCTAGGGATCACGCATTAGGAACATATCCACTGAACTGGCTATGAATTCAGCTATCCCTAGGGGTTAAGCAGAATTAAACGTAAGAATATAGAAGTCCTACTACCTTTTGGCAATTAAATGGTACATAGGGAACATAGAGTCCATCAGGTTTTCTATATTAGGCCTACTTTATTGAAGACTGACAAGCATTCACACTCTGACATCAATTGAATTGGATCAAACTCCATCCCTCTTGATGGTTTGAAGTTTGAGCAAGTTTTGCAGGGAAGATTAGGAGCATCGATATTGTATTGAAATGGAAAGGTGAAAATTGAAGTGAACCCTAAATGATATTTTTAAATGAAAGAGGTAATAACAAATTTTCTTTTTGATGAATGAAAGAGGTAATAACAATATAAGAGAACCAATTTGATTTATCATAAAGAAACAAATCGAAATGGTCAAAATCCAAGAATAGACCAGATGAAAAACTTTTACTGATCGAATTTAAAAAGACCAAAAGGAAAACTTCAATAAAGTTTGATGATCCAACTGGTATATCAAAAGAATTAGATAAACAGCTGAATTTAAGTGAGGTAATACCTTTAATTTATTAAGCCATGTCTGTGCCAGGCTAACGAAATCTTCACAAACAATAGAACCATCACGATGTTGAAGTGATTTCTCTATGATCTCATCTGGGCTCTGCATTATAAGGATTAAGTTAGATAACAAATGACTTCAAGCAAGTAGACGATGTTGAGTGCACAATCCAGTGCAAAAAAAAGTTCTAGGCATAAAGAGAAGCAACACGACAAAACAATTGATAGTAAAAAAAACTTGAAATGAATATCCACAAAGAAAACATGACTTGATGAGCTTACAAATTACAGCTCACTCATCTACTAAGGGTTCTGACTGAAGTCGGGAGGAAAAATTGTTGTTTTTGTGTTTTTGACAAGACAAGATGGAAGATCATTTGACCGTATGCATACCAATAATCAGCTCTATGCGGCAATTCCAATGCACAAAACTGAATGAGCTCGTAATCGAGCTATGTGTAATTATGCATCGACTAACATAGTCAACTGATGCCACTCGATGACATTTGAAGAAGAAACTACAATTGTCACTTAACCAATTGAGTATACAAGCATTTATGTACTCTATCAATACATATGGAGCTATAAGAAGGAAAAAGAACACTTGCGTTCCACTCCCAACAGCGAACAATTCTATTGGAGAGTTTAAGTAATTTGTTTAACAACCAAAATCATCTTTACAGTATCTAATTCACAATATTGTCATCAGATATGTGTTACAGATGAAATGATTATGTCCTCATCAAAATTGGCCAGAAAGCGAATAGATGTGGCAACTATACCTTCAAAACGACTGTAATAATGACAAATGGTAATAATAATAGATTGGTAACTGAAGCAACAACAACAACAACAAACCCAATGTAATCCCACAAGTGGGGTCTGGGGAGGGTAGTGCGTACGCAAACCTTACCCCTACCTTCAAAAAGGCAAAGAAGTTGTTTCCGGAAGACCCTCGGCTTAGGATAGGTAAAAGAAAGGGCAACAACAACAAGCATACCAATTAGAAAACCGGCGCAAAAATACAAAACTAAATACACTAGGTATTGCAACCAGAAAGCCGACACGAAAGCAATAACAGGTAATCACAGAAGTCAAGGGATACGAGAATACACAAATAGATTGGTAACTGAAGACAAACTAATTAACTAACATTTGTTGAAAGGACTAAAATGGGGATTG